GGGGTTTGGGGTCGGTTGGAGGCTTGGGGCGTAGGGATTAGGCTGAGGGCTTAGGGGAACTTCTTCCGAGAGCTCTAAACCCCAAACCCTAAACCCTAAACCCTAAACCCTTGTATCAAACATCGAAGGAACCTTTCTGTTTCGGATTTACACCGAGGAGCAGGCAGGGCACCCTCATTTGTTTCATGGGGCAAGGAAAGCTAACACAAAACTACTATTTGCTGAAGAGCCCACCAAAAACACACACCAATTATCTCTATATTGCCCTTGTAAGGATTGTATTCAACTTATTCCATTTTTTTGGGGGGGGGGGGGGGGTTGTTAAGCAAATAGTAGAAAAAGCGAGCGAAGAGGGTTTAGGGTTCAGGGTTCAGGGCTCAGGGGGCCGAGCCCCTCAACCACCGGCTTCCCTGATTCTGGCCTGGCGTTGAGGGTTTAAGCTTTGGGGTTTAGTTTTTGGGGCCCAATTCACTAAACCCTAAACCCTAAACCGTAAGCCCTAAGCCCTAAGCCCTAAACCCCTAAACCCCTAAACCCCTAAACCCCTAAACCCCTAAACCCCTAAACCCCTAAACCCCTAGACCCCTAAACCCCTAAACCCCTAAACCCATCACCAGTGCACCCGGGTCACTTTGAAAGGATGCCGACAAATCAATCGCATCATCCTCGGGCGGGCTCCTGGCGGGGCTATAAGCTCCATGTAGGGTTTAAACTAGGGTTTCGGGCTTAGGGTTTAGGGTTTAGAGTTTAGAGGCTCGCGGGAGTGCCAAAATCAAGACACGACTCGCATCATGCTGCGGTTGTAAAGGGGGTTTCGGATTTAGGGTTTAGGGCTTCGGGTTATAGGGCCGATAAAACTATCCGGCACATTCCACATCGAAGCCCGGCACGATTGTGGATGGGGTTTCGATTCGTCTTCGCGACCTGCGGCCGAATTTTGTTCAACGAACATCCCAAAACGCTAAGCTCTCAACTGTTGGTAAAGACCTCAGCCCTCCCCTGACCCGTAAACCCTAAACCCTAAAACCCGAAACCCTTGACCCTAAACCCCTAAACCCCTAAACCCCTAAACCCCTAAACCCTAAACCCCTAAACCCTAAACCCCAAAAGTCCCTTGGCCGACCTCGGCTCAGGAGGCAGCATGATGGACGTACCTGGACCGAAGCCGAGCTTCGCACACTGCGCTCCGACTGGGGAATGGTGGGTTCCTTCCCCTCGGTCAGCAAATTTCACGGCATCCGCTACCCTGAGCCCTAAACCCTAGCCCTAAACCCTAAACCCTCAACCCCAAACCCTTAACTAAACCCCTAAACCCCCTCCAGGGTTCAGGGTACGCATTCACGCATTCACCAGAATACTCGGCTACATGCATCAACTGCCCTCCACCTTTCTCTGGGAGGGTAGTTGCCCGGGGGTTAGTATGGGCCTTGAGTTTTGCAAAGCCTTGTCTACTGCCCCTGAGAAACCTTCTAGAAATCTTGGGTCGCGCGCTTCAAACCCTTCAAAAAGAAAGCTAAGGGACCATGTCGTTTTCCTTATGTTCTCGATGAAAGGCAATGAAAGGCTGCGGCGCAGGCTTTTTCAAATTGAGTTTTTGCAACAAAGAGACAGAGAAAGAGAGAGAGGGAGGTAAAGAGTAACAGATAGACAGAGACAGAGGGAGAGAAAGCAAGAGAGAGAGAGAGAGAGTGGGAGGCAGAGGCAGGCAGGCAGGGAAACCTAAGAAAAGGCCGGCTGGCGTCACATGCCGCCATCTGCTGCTGAGGGCGGTGCGAGACACCTACAAAATAGCAGACACCCACGCTGCACACGACGACACGCCACATGGGAAACAAACAGACCGCAAAACAACTCTCTCGGTTGCAACAAAGAACTCCAAGACACCACCAGCCGAGACACTGAAAACCCTAACTCTAAGCTCAAAACCTCAGCCTTGAACCGTGAAACAAAACATGGCCCTGAACTGTGAAACTTGCCCTAAATCCTAAACCCAAAACCCAAAACCCTCAACACAATACGTGATCACATCAGCAAACCCTAAGCCCCCGAAACTCCTCTCCACACCAAGAACCCTCAAACCGCAAAAGCCTGCAGCCGGGAAACCCGAAAAAACTCAACCCTCAACCCTCAACCCTCTAAACCCTGAACCCTAAACCCTAAACCCCAAACCCCAAACCCCAAAACCCAAAACCCAAAACCCTAAACCCTGAACCCAGAAACGCCCACCCCCACGTGAGCATCGCGACGCCTACGTCAGGGGCGGGCTCCGGCTCGTCAAGCGGAGTGGGCTCAAAGAGCCGGGCCTGTTGCGGAGCTGAGGCTGTACTGAGAAGCTCGTTTAACTTCGTAGTTTAGGGTTTTAGGGTTTTAGGGCTTAGGGTTTCAGGGTTTCAGGGTTTCAGGGTTTAGGGTTTAGGGTTTAGGGTAACCCTAAACCCTAAACCCTCAACCCCATTATAATCCCCGTAGACCTATCTTACCAACCCTGCTTGCTAAGTCAGAAGGGCTTCCAAGTAAGGGGCCTGGGAGTTCTGGTTCAAGGTTTAGGGTTTATCAGTTTTTAGGGTTATTTAGGGTTTAGGGTTATTTAGGGTTTAGGGTTTAGGGTTTTGGGTTTTTGGTTTTGGCGGATGTTTGGGGTTTTAGGGTTGTCTGAGAACTCCATAAGGAGCTTACACATAATGACCTAGCAAAAAGGCAGGTACTGGGTTCTCAATGTGGGGTCTAACGGTTTTTGGGTTTAGGCGGTTTTCGGGTCTAGGGTTCAAGGTTTGGGGTTGAGGTCTCAGGGTTTTTGGGGTTTCAGGGTGTCAGGACGTAGGGTTTTATGGTTCTAGAGTTTTGGCTTGAGGTGTGAAGGCTTTAGGGGGTTTCAGGTTTCGGAGGGTGGGGTTTTGGGTTTTAGGGTTTTGGCTCTACCTGGAAGAACATTACTGGCCATGAACCTTCAAGTAAGGAGGTGTTTAAGGATCAGCGTCTTAGCATGTAGGAATAACATCAACCCCCCAAGCCACAACCATTACAGGGGCTGTTGGCTCCAGGGGGGACGAACGAAAGAAACAAACACGGGTAACGCGACGACCCCCTAAACCCTAAACCCTAAACCCTAAACCCTAAACCCTAAACCCTAAACCCTAAACCCTAAAACCCTAAACGCGACGACCCTGCAAACCCTCAGCTCTCCACACGGAAACCTCTTGACCCGAGTCTCTTTGCGTTGAGGGTTTAGGGTTTAGGGTTTAGGGTTTAGGGTTTAGGGTTTCGGGCTAAGCCTACACGCCTGAAATGGTTCTCGAGTATGCTTGGAGGTTCAGGGTACTTATAACCCAACTAGAAGTGTAGTCATAACCCGCAGTCTTAGCCCCTTAAGTACCCTGGCTTTGGGTTATAAGTACAAGTAGAATTGGGTTCCTGCGTACCAAGAACCTCCAAGTAGGGCTTAGGGTTTTGTTCGTCAAACGGGGGCCAGGGGAAAGCTGATACAAGAGGGAACCTTGAAAGATGATGGGACGCCTTGAACCCTAAGCCCTAAACTCTAAACCCTATACTATTACATTCTAAACCCTAAATCCTGAACCCTATAGACCCTAGAGTTTGGGCATTTGCTTGAGGCCATACATGGCTTCTTTGCCTAGTCCAGGCTCCTTAAGCCGTAAGCCGTACCAAACCCTACCACACGAAACCCGAAGCCTAAAACTCCTAAACATCCTTAACCTAAACCCAGGAAGCAAGTACGGGAGCCTGTAATGCTGACATTGCCTGAGTGTCGCTGATCCCATCACCCAGCTCCAGGGCCTCAAGGGAGGGACTGCAAAGTTGGGCTTGGGAAGTTTTCGGGCTTCGGATTCTTGAGGTTGGGGCTTTTGGGGCTTGAGGGTGGAGGAGTGGGGATTCTACAGGGGTTTGGGGTATTCAGGTTGAAGTTTTCCCGTTTCGGTTTGGGTATGTTTTTGGCTTCGTTGTCTTTTTGAGTTTGGGGTTTGGGATTTTGGCGTTTGTCTGTTCTTGGGTTTGGTTCTTTTTGGGGGGTCTGGGGCTTCGGGGTTTCGGGGCTCTTGGGGAGTTGTTTGTTTTTGTTAGGGGGGGGGGGGGGGGGGGGGGGGGGGGGGTTATGGGGATCTTGGGCTTACGGATTTGTATATAACTATATATATATATATTGATTTTTTAATTTATTTTTTTGGGGAGGGGGGCTGGGGCGTTCTTTGGTTTAGGGTTTTTGGGTTGGTCTCTCCGATATGGCACTATAGGGTTCTTAAGGAAGGGGGTTCATGCGGGCTAGGTACCTAGGGAGCCTCAGGCAAGCTTAGGGAGCCTTAGGGAGTAAACCCTAAACCCTAAACCCTAAACTTCAAACCCCAAACCCTAAACCCTAAGCCCTATAGTGGGAGTAAGCAAAAACCGTACTTAACATGATCCTTCTGGGCCAAAGCGGCTTTGGCAAATGGCATCAGGACATTCATCCAGGCGTTTGGGAATATAGAATTTTGAGGTTGAGGCCCTAAACCCTTAACCCTAAACCCGAAGCCCCAAACCCTGAACGGGACCTAGGGTTTCGGGTGGCCAGGCGTAGAGTGAACTACACTCAGCTCAGTAAGCTACTCTGAAAATATCCCGTGCGTCGCGCGCCCTCGATGCAAGTCGCCCCGCCCTCAACCCTAACTCTAAACCCTAAACCCTAAACCCTGAACCCTGAACCCTAAACCCTAAACCCTTCTTTTGTTTCGCCCTTTTTTGGGGTGGGGCGGGGGCCCTGGGTTGCAGCAACTTACTGGCAATGACTTACAAGAATAGGCCTTGCGTCCAGAAGTGTAGCTGAGTAGAGATCCCATGTGAAAGCCGAGGGAGTAGGGTCCCTAAACCCTAAACCCTAAACGCTAAACCCTAAACCCTAAACCCTAAACCCTAAACCCTAAACTATGATAGGGTTCAGTGTTTAGGTTTTAGGGTCAAACCCTAAAACCCACGCCTCGCCAAGTGCAACCGCCACGCTATGTCGGTCAAGCGAGAGGCAGATCTTCTCCTCTCCACACGAACCTTAGACTAAAGTTACTACACGGGAATGCTCTAAGGCCCAAGTTTATATATGTATGCATGTATGTTTGTGTATATAAATATGTATGAATGTATATATATATATGTATATATGTGTGTGTGTGTACATAGATATATGTGTGTGTAGGTGTATATGTATTCATTTACGCATATCAGGGACCGGCAAGCTACATCACGTGCTGCTTGACGTTTGCCTGTGCCCAAAACCCTAAACCCCCAAGCCCGCAATCCCTCAGGGTCACATGTACAAGTACCGAAAAACAGTACAACGTTGGGTCTTAGCGGGTTCACACATGGTAGCTTTAGGCCGAATTATGTACTAAAAAGGCACATATGGCGCCTTAGGGAATTAGAAGTCTAGCAACGAGCAATGCGGTCCTGCTGCAGATCGACGCTGGGCTGCTGGAGGGCTCTCAACACCTGCTTGGGGGGTAGAGGGCTTTGTAGGGTTTGCGGTCAGGCTTTGGGCCTTTTTAAGTACTATGCTTTAGGATGACTGGTGTGGGGTGCTTTTCGAGTTTGGCATCTATCCTCTGAGCAATGTGCTGGCACTCTGAGAAGAGTTTTTGGGTTGGGGTTTAGGGTTTCGCGCTTAGGGTTTATGGCTTAGAAGCAGCCTGAACCCTTGCACCCTATAACCCTTAGAAACACACGTCTCTAAACCTGAAGCTCAAAACGCAGACTGCACTCTAAACCCAAACCAAATGCCAACGGATACAAAACTTTGAGTCCTAAACCCTAAACCCTAAAACATAAACCCTAAACCCTGAACCCTAAACCCTAAACCCTAAACCCTACACCCTGCACCGGTGTGTCCAGGCCTCGCTGGGCGAGAGCGGGAGAAACACGTAGCGCGGGACGCGGAGGTCCTCTTGCAGCTCAAGGCTTGTCGGTGTAGGGTTTAGGGTTTAGGGTTCAGGGTTCAGGGTTCAGGGTTTAGGGTTTAGGGTTTAGGGTTTAGGGTTATACAAGGGTTAGGGTTAGGGTTTAGGCTTTTAGGTTCAGGCTGTGCAGGGTTTCGGGCTTAGGGTTTAGGGTTTCAGGGGTTTAGGGCTCTGTCGGGTCAAGGGACCAGGGTTTTCGGGCTTTGTCAGGCTTTAGGTCTTATCGGGATTGGGGTTTAGGACGTTTGGTGAGCAGTGAGCAGGGTTTAGGGCTTGGGGCCGTCGGAATTTAGGATGTTGGGGTGGGTGTTGGGGCTGATTTCGGGTGGGGGGGTTTGGGATTTGGGGTGTTTGGCTTTGGGCCTAGGTCTTAGGATAGCTGTTTAGTGTTTTGGTGGTTTTGGGCGTCTCAGTTCTCTCCATGAAGATGCTGATGCGGTTTGAAACAGGACATGTTGAACAAAACCAAAAGAATCCACGATACTTGGGCCCACAGTCGTTCATGACCCTACATCCTAAACCCTAAATCCCAAACCCTAAGCTAAACCCTCAACTCTCTAAAGGCCTAAACCCCAAAATGGATCTTGCGGAAAAGGCTCATATCACTGCCCCAGGGAAACGAGCCCGAAAGTAGGTACCACGTGCCTTTTTTTTTTCTCTCAGGGGGACGGCTAAGTATGTACTTTAAGGGCACATGGACCTCTAAACCACAAACCCTAGAACCCTGCAACCCTAAACCCCTGAACCCTAAACCCTACAAGATTGAGGTACACGGAACCCTATTTAGATGCATTCTCTTGAACTCGTGGGAGTGCGTAAGAGCCAACACCGAAGCACGAGAACTGCAGGTTCGGTTTACCCTAAACCCAACCCCTAAAGGGAGCCTAGGGAAATACGAAATCCGAAGACTGCAACCCCAAAACGAAATCCTGAACCTCATCGCCTTTGAGGCTTTGTGGTTTAGGGCCGATCGAAGGGTAATGCTTGGCGTACCAACACCCCAGCGTTGAAAACAACTCTAGACGCTACACTCTAAACCCTAAACCCTTAACCCTAAACCTCAACCAGAAAACCCTAAATCCCTATTTCGAGGCCTAGTCCCCAAGCCCTAAGCCCGAAACACTAACCCCTCACCCCTAACCCCCGCAGGGGGGGGACCGGCACGTTGCTTTGAGAGCCACGTTGAGGCAGATCCGCACACCTCTCCAGCGCAGATGTTCCGTGTACCCTAAACCCCAAACCCCTGAACCCTGAGGGTCTTGTAAACTCATGACTTTGGGTCGTGGGCCGAACTTTCATCCTGTACCTGAACCGAAAAGCCCTTGAGCCCATCCTGCCTGTTCGAGGTTCAGTGGCTTGGGTTTAGGGTTTAGGGTTGAGGGTTTAGGGTTGAGGGTTTCGGGTTTAGGGTTTAGGGATGACTTCAGGTTCTAGGCTTAGGCTACTCCCTCAGTTGCTTCGTAGTCGAAGTTGTAGCGAATTCTACGACGTTCCCGAAGGAGACAGTTCCTACTATGATTCTTATGCTTAAAGCCACAAACCGGGGTGGGGGCCCTGTAGAAACTTGAGTTGCTATGAGTTCCTCCAAATCAACCCCAGTACAAGCTTAAACCTGGGACCCTAAACCCCAAAGCCCCGTACTCCGTGCCGATCTCCGCAGCACCCTTCGCTGATTGCCGCAGAGGCCGCATGGGTTTTTGGGTCCGTTTAGGGTTTAGGGTTTCCAGGTTTGAGGGCTTAGTAAAGTTTAGAGTTTAGGGATGTTTAGGGTATACCCTATCACACCCAAGGGCACATTCTTCAGAACCCTTTCATGTTGCGACCATGTAGCTACCCTTAGACACAAAGGCTCGAAGACGCCTTCTGTATGTAGGATTAGTAAGTTGGGCGATGGGGATTATGACAAGGTTTCGGGGGGGGGGGGGTACTACGTAGATTTCCTAAGTCAAAAGAGCTTCCCAGGTAAGGGTTAAGGGTTCACAGCTAAGGGTTAAGGCTGGGATGTTCACCTTTTTTTCTAACAGTCCTTAATAGGATAGGGATTCTAGTAGGGGGTACTATAATACCTCGTAAAGACTGTTAGTATAAGGGGGAACATCCCTAGTTAAGGGTTAAGGGTGAGCTTCCGGCCTCCGCGGGCTCTTGACTGGGTAGCCGGCCTGGACAAATCAGCTTGGTGCATGAGTTTTGGAATCCGTAAACCCTAAACCCTAAACAAGCCTAAACCCTGTAAGGTTTGGAGCCTCAGACCCAAAACCCTACACCCCTATGTCCTGAGCCCTTGAAGCCTGAGTCCCTATTCCATTTTGGGTTCTGAAGGCGTGGATCAGGATGTTTGTTTTTTCCGGGCAGGCTTGCCCCCCAAAATTCTACACACCTCCTTAGTTCGCCCGAAACCCTAAACCTCGGAAGCCTCTGGCCCATCCCATGGCCCCAAAAAAGGCCCTACAGGAAAGAACTGTTCAGCGGCCCAGCCATTGGTCGAAGGTTCGTGCGAGAGCCTGGGGTTGAGGGTCTAAGGCCCTAAACCCCGAGGCCCAACACCCCCCCTAAACCCTAAACCCTAAACCCTAAACCCTAAACCCTAAACCCTAAACCCTTAAAACCCCCAACATGGTAGCTTAGGGTGTCAGGACTGCTCTCCCGAAGTAAGAGTTGAGGTGTTTGAAGGGTTTCGGAGGCTTCGGGACTAAGGCCCCTAAGCCCTAAACCTCAGTTGGGGGGCTCATGGGCTTTCTAAGCTTGGGGCTTTTTCGGAACTCTTTGGCTTTCGTGCGCTGCTGATTTGGCGCTTGCATGTCCCTGCAAAGCTCATCATCCCAGAACCCTAAACCCTAAACCCTAAACCCTAAACCCTGAACCCTAAACCCCAAAAGCTACACTCTTGTTTTGGTAGTCCTTTTCGATCGCTTATTGGCATGCCCAAAGGCTGGGTTCTGTATATAGACATTTGGAGTTCAACCGCTCATCCACACTAACCCCAAGGCCGAAACCCGGCATCCCACTGCCCAAAGAAACCCAAAACCTCAAGAGGTGCACAAAACAGTTTTAGGGTTTAGGGTTTAGGGTTTTGAGGGCACTTGCGGTACTACCCCTGCGGTAGGACCTAAACCCTGAACCCTAAAACCCTAAACAATTTACGGACCAGTCAGCCTCGATTATATTTCAAACCTAAGCCCTAAACCCCAAAAAGCCCAGTACTACATACTTTAGATAAGGGACCATATTAAGGAATTTCCCTGAACCCTCCGGTGTCCAAGAAAGCTTCACCTCCTTAGGGAGCTGTTGGGTTTAAGGTTTAGGATTCAGCATCTCAAGTCCAGGCATTCACAAGTCAAGCAATGTGTTGTGAACCGGAGTTCTACATACCCACCCAGAGAACTCCTTCATATTAAGAAATGCAAAGTTCAATCTATCCAAACCCCCAGTAGGCCCCCCAATCCCGAAGGCCGTAAACCCTGTGTCACAAACCCTAGAGCCCTAAACCCTAAGTCTCAAGAAATGACAATTGCCCACCAATGTCACTAAGGCTTCAATATACATGTCACTTTGGGTTTAGGGTTAGGGTTTAGGGTGTACGGTTTAGGTTTTAGGGCTTAGGGTTTAGGTCCACAAACCTTGCTAACACTACCCCTAAGCCCTAAACCCCATATCCTAAACCCTAACCCTAAACCCTAAACCCTAAACACCCCCAAGCCCTAGACCCCCTAATCAACTGCTCCAGGAGTCTGACTCGCAGCTCGGCCTCGAGCCTTGGGTCTCAGGTGCTTTAGGGTTTAGGGCTAGGGTTTAGGGTTTAGGGTTTAGGGTTTAGGGTTTAGGGTTTAGGGTTTAGGGTTTAGGGTTTAGGGTTTAGGGTTTAGGGTTTAGGGTTTAGGGTTTAGGGTTTAGGGTTTAATGTTGGACTGCTTTTAGTATAAGGAGGGTCTATAATCACAAGTTTCGAAAATTTATTCAGCGAACCGAGTTTGTTCAGGGTACCCGCTATTATCACAAGTTTTTTCCGGACGTTTTTTTTTTGTTTAAGGGTTTGTGCTTTGGGTTAAGAGCTTTCGCAGTAAGGCTTGAAGCCCTGAGGGCTTGGGCTCCAGGAACCTTAAAGAGCCAGAGCGCGGAGAATCCAGAAATCTAAGCCCGGCCAATCCCATGTAAATCCTAATGGAAATTCATTACGAAACGAGGCCCCAAACAAATTTTGTGATAGGTAGCCCACGGGCCGGTCAGACTGTTTTTAGTAAGTTTGTCTGGCTACCCTCTATAATAACAAGTTTTTTTTCGGATGATTTTTTTTTGAGGGTTTGTGTTTTGGGTTAAGGGCTTACGCAGTAAGGCTTGAGGCCCCGAGGGCCTTGGGCTCCAGGAATCTTAAAGGCTGGAAAGCTTCAGGCCTTGAGGTCCTAAAGGCTTGAGGCCCTGAGGGCGGTTCCCCCCCCCCCCCCAATTTGTTTGGGGGGGTCGCCGGGCCACGCGTTTATAGAGGGTCCAAATTTGTTGGGGGGGGGGGGGGGGGGGGGCATACTAAAGACAGTGCAACATTAGGGTTTAGGGTTTGGGGTTTGGGGTTTAGGGTTTAGGGTTTAGGGTTTAATGTTTAAGGTTTAGGGCGTTCAGAAGGGCATCCTTGAGTTCACACACCAGGTGCGCCCACAGAAACCACACAGAACCCCCCCGCAACCTGGACAAACCCTAAACCCTAAACGATAAACCCTAAACCCTAAACCCTAAACCCTAAACCCTAAACCCTAAACCCTAAACCCTAAACCCTAAACCCTAAACCCTAAACCCTAAACCCCGAACTCGAAACCCCAGCCAGAGTGGCGTGGCCGTGCGCCGCCTCTCCTCCTCAAGCTCACCCCTGAGGCGGGCCAGCAGCCTTGTAGCGGGCGTTTGGAGCCTAAACCCTAAACCCTAAACCCTCAACCCTAAACCCTAAACCCATAAACCCTAAACCCATGAACCCTAATCCCTCACACTCTAAGTCGAAGTTTGGGGGGGTTTGGGGCGGGCACTCCGTGCTTTCGGGGGTCATCTGACTCATCTGTCGGCTTGGAATGAAGAAACCCTATGCGCCAAACCCTAAACCGGCACCCTCAACCCTAGAGCCCTGAGCCCTAAACCCTAAACCCTGAGCCCTAAACCCTAAACCCTAAAAAACCCTAAACCCTAAACCCTAAACCCTAAACCCTAAACCCTAAACCCTAAACGCCAAGAACTCGACTCCAAAGTGCTTCCTCAAGAACCCTAAACCTACTCTTCTGCAGGTTACTAGTGGATCCTACACAAAGCTTTTCTTGGCTGCAGTCAGAAGGGTTTAGGGTTTAGGGTTTAGGGTTTAGGGTTTAGGGTTTAGGGTTTAGGAAATTTCTAGCTGCCTTGTTAAGCAACCCAAAAAAGCCAAAAAGGCTAAGGATCTAAAGTTACAGTATAGCACCACAAAGCCACAAAGTCTTAGACTCATCGATGGGATGATATGAATCCCCTTGCAGAGCCCACAAACTCGTAGGTGCTTAAGGCACATATAATATGTTTTCCTGCTACGGCCAGAGATCAACTACACAGACCCTAAACCCTAAACCCTAAACTCTGGGCCCTTCAGTTTCGATTAGTCATATTAAAATTCTCAGGGATGCCCTGAACTCAGGAACCCGAAGCTGGTTTAAGGGTTTAGGGTTTAGGGTTTAAGGGTTAAGGGTTTAGGGTTTAGGGTTTAGGGTTTAGGGTTTAGGGTTTAGGGTTTAGCCAGACTCCAACCCCTTCAAGACGTGAGGGCGGGCAGGAAAGGGTCAACAATCATGGCAAAAGGAAGGCAGGTGGTCGGACTATAATCGGCTTCAAGTGATAGGGGTTATGGCGTCCAAACCCCACACCCCGAAGCTCCAAACCCTACATCCTAAACCCTGAACCTAAATAAACCCTAATCCCTACTTGGTTCAGGGCACTTATCACCCAATTAAAAGTGCAGCTAAGACCCACTAGTAAGCCCCTTAAGTGCCCTAATGGGGTCTAGCTGGGTTACCAGTGCAGCGACAATTGGCTTACTAAGTACCATGAACCTCCAAGAGGACATCCACAAACCTTCAACCCCAAACCATCTGCCCCATCGAGGGTTTTTGAAAGATCCCGTGCTCAGGGGGCGTGGTGGGCTCAAGGGTTTAGGGTTCGGGGCTTGTGGGTTTAGGGCTGAAGGTTACCCGAAACCCTAAACCCTAAACGCTAAACCCGAAACCCTAAACCCTAAACACTAACCCGAAACCCTAAACCCTCGGGGGGGTCCAGGGGATAATGGCGGCGAGTTCGACGTGCAAGGCTCGGACAGAGACTCTGCAGGGAACATCGCGACCTTCCCCGGGAGTGAAGTTTAGGGTTTCGGGTTTAGCATTTAGGGTCTTAGGGTTAGGGTTTAGGGTTTAGGGTCTAGGGTCTAGGGTTTAGGGTTTTTGTAGGGCAAGTACGCTAAACAAACACTATAGAATTCCCAGGTAACCTGCACAAGCAGTTTGGGGTGTTGAAGGTTGGGGGAGTCGGGGCCGATCGTGACTCAGCGGCCTCCACGTAAAGACTCCCCGGTTTAGGGTTTCGGATTTGTAGGGCCTAGGGTCGGGGTTTAGGGTCTAGGGTTTAAGGGTTTCAGGGTTTGAGGGTTTCAGGATTTAAGGGGTTTAGGGTTAAGGGTTAAGGATTTAGGGTTGTAGGCACCCTAACCCGCCTAAACCCCTCCGCGTGTTCTGATAAGGGATGCCCAAAGCGAGGGATGGCTTGGAGCTGAGGACTGGCGGTTTAGGGTTTAGGGTTTAGGGTTTAGGGTTTAGGGTTTAGGGTTTAGGGTTTAGGGACGCTCCCGAAGGGAAAAGAACCTAAACTCTAAACCCTCAGCCCCCGCGCCCCCCCCCCCCCTCTGCACCAGCGCCTCGGAAGTCCCAACACCATCACAGGCCTCACAGACTTAAAGGCTTAGGCTTTGGGTTTAGGGTTTAGGGTTTAGGGTTTAGGGTTTAGGGTTTAGGGTTTAGGGTTTAGGGTTTAGGGTTTAGGGTTTAGGGTTTAGGGTTTAGGGTTTAGGGTTTAGGGTTTAGGGTTTAGGGTTTAGGGTTTAGGAATTAGGGTTTAGGGTTTAGGGTTTAGGGTTTGGGGTTTGGGGTTTGGGGTTGGGGTTTAGGGTTTAGGGTTCAGGAAGCTCCATCTGTTTTCCAGATGCACGCGCGGGTGATGTCACAGGACCCAAAGGACGACACCCCGCAAAAGGACCCTCCCAAAGCAGGGAGCACTGTTTTGTTTTACGGTTTAGGGTCTAGGGCTAACCTTTTTATCAAGGCACCATAGGGTTTAGGGACTTGATAAGTTGCCAGGCAGTGTGCAAGCGATCTTAAATGTCTCAGATACATCTTGTAGGTCTTTCCTAGGTAACCTACAAAAACGAGCGGGTGCCCCCCTGAGGAGCCCATGAACGAATAATGGTTTCTCTGAACCTTTGCCTGCTGTATGATTGGCTTCGGCGGGGAGGGCCGGCATTCCGTCTTGTTTGCCCTGCTAAACGCCCTAAACCCTAAATCCTAAACCCTAAGCCCTAAACCCGAAACCCTAAACCCTAAACCCTAGACCCTAAACCTAAGCCCTAAGCCCTAAGCCCTAAGCCCTCTGAAAACCTAAAGTCCTATAGGAGCTACCCTAAACCCTGAAATCTCTAGGAAGCACCCTGAACGCCCTGCCAGACATAAACTCAGTGACAAACAACTTAACAAAGCTTTCTAACTAAATCCTGAACTCTATAAGTCCTGGCGGAACACACTGAAGCGCTAAAAACTAAGCCCGATGAAGGCCTGACCATAAACCCCAAACAAAGCCCTGAACAAGTTAGAGCTCTAAGCAGCATCAACTCTACAAGCACCCCTTGCTAGCATAAGCGTGGTTGGAAACCCTTGCAACCCTACCCCGAAATCCCCGATTCTCTGGAAACCCCAAACCCCAAAGAAGCCTTTGAATGCCTAAAACTTCTAAGCGCGATAAGATCCAGAAAGCTCTGAAAGTAGGGTTTCCCCACAGACAGACTCTAAACCCGAATCCCTAAAACCCCAATTCCTAATTCCTACAATAAATATGATCCTCTTAAAAGCCAACAAGGGAACTATGGAAGATCCCACGGTCCTACCTTGTAACAGTAAACCCTGGCGACGCGACACCAGGAACCTAACGCCTCTTCTTCCTGGGTTTGAGGGTTTAGTTTTATCTTGCTGTTTTCAGCTTGGGGTTAAGGGTAGAATCAAAGCGCGTGAGCTCTAAGCTCTTAAACCTCTAAACCCTGAACTCCTTAAACTGCTAAACCTAACCCTAATGAAACTATACCCGGAACCCTAGACCCCTAAACCCGAAAACATCCCTCTAGACCCCTAAACCCCAAACCTAAACCCCTAATCTAAAGCCTAAACCTCTAAACCCCAAACCTAAACACTAAACCCCTACACCCCGAACCTGAGCGCCTAAACCCTAAACCCTAAACCCCAAACCCCAACCCTAAACCCTAAACCCCAAACCCTAAACCCTAAACTTCTCAACCCTAATCTTCTAAAACCAGCCTGCTACAAGTCGGTGCGGGACCTGGCGCCTACTTCCAGGGCTGATTTGGGCTGGACGCCGCTCGATTCCCAAGCAACACGGGGGTGTAATGTAGGGTTTAGGGTTTAGGGTTTAGGGTTTAGGGCTAATAATTAGAATAGGTTTTTTTTTTTTTGGGGGGGGGGGTATCATAGTAGATGTATATAGGGGTCCTAAGGGAATAATATTAGAAATGGTTCCGACCCCTATAGAACCATTTAGAATTATCTTGGGGTCTAGAGGGCTCAAGTTTAAGGGTTTTTGGGAGTTGAGGCCCTAAACCCTAAAACCCTAAACCCTGGTGTATAGGGCTTCGGGAGTTTTAAAGGGAGTTTTGGGCAGGCCCTCAGTGTGCCAACAATTGGCGAACTCTCATTACGACCCTGAACTAAATACTAAACCCTAAACCCTAAACCCTAAACCCTAAACCCTAAACCCTAAACCCTAAACCCTAAACCCTAAACCCTAAACCCTAAACCCTAAACCCACCCCCCCCCTTCCCACTGTTGGATCCAAAAACCTCAAGGGCCCCCTCAGAACTGTCCCAGAAGCTGAAGCCAGGGAGCCATAATAAGGAATGCATGCGAGGGTTTAGGGTTTAGGGTTTAGGGTTTAGGGCTAGGGTCTAGGGCTTTGAACTTTCACAGGTTTGGCGACGTCCAGCTTTGCACTTGCTGTCGAAGGGCGTGCCTCAAGGCAAGCCCTTCGCTGTACAGAGCGGACTGTGGGATAGGCACAGCAGATGGCAAGCAGCCCGAAACCCTGAAGCCTACTGTCCGCTACCCCGACCCACCAAAAGCTGAAACTTCAGTTTCAGTAGGGTTTAGCCTTTTGTGAATGTACGCCGGAAAGTGTAAGGATTTGCCTGCTGGCGAAGTCCAACTTTTCTTGTGGCTACCTTGCAGTTTTCGATTGATTAGAAAGAGCCCCATCTTAGCTTCCCGGGACCCGCAACCCTGAAGGCTAAACCCTAAACCCTAAACCCTAAACCCTAAACCCTAAACCAAAAACCCTAAACCCTAAACCCTAAACCCTAAACCCTAAGCCTCTGTGCCCGCCTTTCTACACACCCTAGGAGCTGAGGTGGGGGGATATCACGAGGTGCAGCTCAGGGTCCTCATGACCTCCTACTGCCATCTCGACATCCTACAGAATCCTACACATACTCATAGGGTTTAGGGTTTAGGGTTTAGGGTTTAGGGTTTAGGGTTTAGGGTTTAGGGTTTAGGGAATGATCCTCATTGGAGGAACCCCAAACGGGCACCCCCTACTGTCGGAAACCCCCCCATATAACTAGACTTGGAGGTTCAGGGTACTTAGCAACCAAATTATCCGTGTAGTTATAACACACTTGCAAGCCCGTTAGGTCCCTAACAGGGATATAATTGGGGTATAAGTACAGTTATAATCGGGTTACTAAGCAAACAAACAAAACACAGCTGTGTCAACGACGCAGATAGACATAAAGTCCCATCGACAGACGAGAACAAACGAATCACAGTAAGATGCAGACAAACAAAATCGTACATAAGCAACATAAAACCAACGCATGCACCCACAACACACACACACACACGTATAATAAAAAAATAATTCCATATATACATACACATACACACATATGTGTCTGTGCATATATGTATGTATACACACGTACATGTGCGTGTATGTGTGTGTGTCTATATGTATGTATATATATATAGATATGCATACTACAGGAGCCTTAGTAACTAGAATAGTTTTTTTTTTGGGGGGGGGGTACTTGTAGTATAATTCTCGAGGGACCCTAAGTACTTATTCCGACACCTTATATACATATATATATATATATACTTATGTATATGTATATATATATATATTCATTTATATTTATATATATGTATGTATATATATATATATCTTTGACTTTCGGGCATCACCGGTGCTTCACCATGGACCGTGCGGGCGCCACAGGAAGCAAGGAGAGGAGGGCGCTTGGAGGTTTCTGGTACTTGGTAACCCGATCATCAGGGTTTAGGGTTTAGGGTTTAGGGTTTAGGGTTTAGGGTTTAGGGTTTAGGGTTTAGGGTTTAGGGTTAAACCCCATGATAGCTGTACTTATATCCCAAGTATAATAACAGGGCTCATGGGTGGGTTGGAACTACTTGTATACTTGGGTTCTAAGTGCCCTGAACCTCCAAGTGGGAACGTGGACCCGACCCTTCCTTCACCTAGGCTTCGCAGATGTCCGGGATTCACTGGTCCCAACCCTTCGGACACTTCGTGCCACAGACGGAAGGGAGAGGACCGGCGCAAAATGCTCAGCCCAAAGGACCGTCATGCGATTCTTGCAGAGCTTGAACCGACAGAAAAAAGTTCGCAAAGAGATCAGGGCCCACGATCCTAAACCCTAAACCCTAAACCCTAAACCCTAAACCCTAAAACCTAAACCCTAAACCCTAAACCCTAAACCCTAAACCCCAAACCCTAAACCCTAAACCCTACACGTGGCCTCGTGGATCCACCCATCAACCCATGCTCTCGTTTGGGCACGTGGACCAGGTATTTCCGATGGCAAGAGGCTCCTAGGCCTGCTCGCACGGTAAAACAAGGCCCCCCTTGCTTGCAGGAGGTTTTGTGATCTGTGGTTCCAGTACGGAAGCCGATTCTTCTTCCTCCTTGGTAGCCCAGAAGCCACAGTTTCAATATGAGGGTACCCCCCTTTTTTTGGTTGTCTAGGTTTCATAAGGGAGCCCGGAACAAGGCTACCTCTGGGCTACCAAGCTTCGGTACTGCGCGAAATGCATTCTCTTGGCAGCCTCCAGTCCGACAGCACATCTCTGGCGGCACAACTCTGGCTAAAAACATCCTGCACCCAACTCCTAAGGCACATCCCCTGTGCAGGAGTGCGCCAGGTGTGCGGGTTTCCAGGCAGACGTGAGATATTGGGATGCTTTCTTCTCCTAAGCTTTTTCGGCGCAAGGTCTGTTGCCCCAAGGGTCCATGTACCTATATAGTACATATTAGGGTCCTAAAGCTACCATATGGGAGCCGGTTTAAGCCCCAAGTATATACTATATGGGTACATGGACCCTTAGGGTTGCATTTCATGTCCGGGATCTGGTCAAAAGAAAATGCCCGGCACTTCATTTGGAGTCGTTTTTGGCCGAGTGCGCACACGACGCAGCAGCTGCCTGACCATGCTATACAAGCGGAGGAGCGCGCGGAGAGGCAGAGAGGGGGGGGGGGCCTCCCATTTGCCCTGAGTTCTGGCTCTGCAAATGTTCAGGCTGGCGGGGCCTGAGTAAGGCCTAATGGTTTATCAATCGAGGGGCATGTGTGTTGTTTTTGAGCGGAGTGATAAGT